TAGCTTTGTGGGAGCTATTCTTTTTGCCTTCTTCTAGGGATAGCCCTTCAAGGTAAGTGGTAGCCCTTCCTTCTTGGAAGCACTAAAGCCTAATACCCCTATTTATCGTCACAGCACCGTGAACCTGTTGGTAGCTCGCCTAAGATTTTCAGGCTCTTAGCACTTTGTTTTTAGCTTCTCAGCTTCTAAGCCTCTGCTGCCAGCAGTCAGTGCCATGAGTTGATAAGCAGCCTGGATTCTCAGGCTTAATTCTCAGTGCTTGCTTTCTCCCTAGGATCTTGGCCTCTCAATTTCTGGGATTTTCTAGTGGCTTTCCAATGTCTTTAAATAGTTGATTTCTGCAATTTATCCAGCTCCTCTAGTATTTCTTGGTGGAAGGGTTGGACTGATTATTATCTAGGCCAGTCGATAATGGAAAATGTAGTCTGGATGCCTCTGGAAGACCTTCAGGTCTGCACATCAAGTGTGTTGCAAAAGCAATGATGGCTGAAGATGTTGATTCCTTAGTATCAGTCAAGGTAGTGGCACCTAACTACCATACTAGCAATTATAATCTTCACTGTCATCAAATCATTGTTAAAAAAAAGGCTAGTTTCCAATGAAGTAGTAAAAATTAGTAATTTTATTACATCTTGATCCTTAAATACAGCTATTTTTAATGATTTGTGTGCCCAAATGGTAAGAACTCATAAAGCATTTCTGCTAACTATTGAAATACAATGGTTGACTTATGGAAAAACATTTGATTATTTGAGTGATGTGCTGAATGAATGTATTTTTCTGTTTCATATGGATCCTCATTTTTGCTTGAAAGAATGATTGACAAACAAACTGCAGTTCTCAAAAATGAATGATGTGAACCCATCTCTTCAAGGCAAACCATTGATAGTATTCATTGCCAATGATAAAATTGGCAATGGATCAAGTGAAAATTAGATTTTTAGAAAACTTGTGTCCACTATTGTGAGCTTGATAGGTTCTCAATATTTAAAGGCCTCTCTGGTAAAATTGGTGGTGTTACCTAAGATGATTTTTGTTTTGGGTAATGAAATATGTCAATATTTGGAAGATCTGTATAACACAGTGAACCACTATTTTCCAAATGACCAAATCATCATGTTATAAAATCACACGTAGGAGAAAGCCCCATTCAATGTGCAAGATAGACTAATGGACTTTAATATAATACTATGAAAAATTCACTGATGTAAGTATGGTTTCAGATTGCATGTTGAAGCCAACCTTTAGAAAATGTTATCATTTGTCAGTTTCTGGTGTAGTATCAAAGAATATCCACAATTACAATTACGTAAAAAGACTGAAACTCCTCCTTCCCTGGGGCAGGCATTTAGCCTGGTGTTTAAGGTGCTAGTTTAGATGCCCACACTCCACACTGAGGTATATGGGTTTCATTCCCAGCTCTGGCTCCTGATTTCAGTTTCCTGCTAAGGAACCCCTAAAGCAGCAATGATGGTTCAGGTAGTTGGCTTTCTGCCCCCAATGTGAGAAACCAAGGCCAAGTTCTGGCTGCCACCTTTGACCTGGCCCAGCCCTGGCTTATTCAGCATTTGGGGAGTGAACCAGAAGATGGGAACTGTCTTTCTATTTCTCTGAAATAAGTAAATAAATAAATAAATTTTAGAATTCCTCCATTTCCCAACTATATATGTGTGTGAGACTGGAATTTCTTCATCTGACACAGCATATTTCCAAACTCGAATGCTGCAGAAAATACAGAAGCCAGCTTTCTTCTAAGCCGTACATGAGCATGGATTTGAAGAAAGTGTAAAACAATGCTTTTGTGCTATTTCCTTTGTTTTTGAAAAGTAGGCTTGTCGTAAAAATAATATAATATGTAACGGGATTATTTTAATGATTTAAGAAGTGCATTTTGGAATTTATGATAGTTTTAAATTGCAGTATGTCAGATGTTGACGGATATAACATGTAAGCAAGAGCTGTCTGGGGTCTTCAGAAATTTTTAAGAAACAATAACCACTGGGTTAATGGGTGACTACAGCATTTCTGATGCACATCCATTTTGGGTGTAGATGCCCAAAACTTTCAGGAAACTTTGGCCATTTTGCATGGCAACAAATGAACAGATGAATTAAATTTTATAACTGTATGAGCAGCTTAAATATTAATTATTTTAGTCTGAAGTATCAGAAGTCAGGTTGATTACTCCCTTTTTAGTGTTGTGTTCGATTCCATGGTTATAGCTTTTGAGTTGCTGATCAGTGATTGAATAAAGACAAATGACATGAATAGGTAGTTTATAAATATTAGAAATTCTTAACACGTAGTGAGAAGGAAGAGATTAAAGTGTTTAAAGTTGTGTCATCCAGTGTCAGTGTTCAGTTTTCAAAGTTGTCTGACTCTACAGTGCACATCAGCCAAGATAGTGACATTTAGTTAAAATAAAAATAAGGCCTTTGATTGTTTTAGACACAACAATAAGATCAGATTAAGTTTCTTAAAGCGTTCAAGTTTTAGAAAGTTTTACAGGGACCATCAGAAATGCCATTCTTCACAATCAGTGAATACAATATTTTGTTTCTCCTGGGGAGAATTTGAGTAAATAAATAACCACCCATGACTATGAAATGAGTAAAAGATAGCAGTGGTTTGCTTTATAACATGTACCTTTGGGGGCTGTTCTCATCCATATTGTTTCTGCCCTTTTATAAATCTGTCATCTTGAGGGTTAGAACTATGCAATTTTTTCTTGATTATTCTCTGAGCTTTTCTTGATTATTCTCTTATCAGTATTTAGTTTTTGAGGGTAGAGACTACACTTATCTTCTACAGTGTCCTGTTGGCAGGTAGACTTGATACATGCTGTTCAGTTTAAAACTTGAGATGCAGAAAATTAGTTTTCTCTCTCCAAGTATTTATTAAGAATTCACTATGGTAATGGTAAGGTGGGGTGTTAGATACCAATAGATATGCCTTGATGCATTTTACCATCACACTGGAGAAACAAGTGACAAGAATTTAAAATGTGGGGGATAAGGAGTCTTGTTCTCAAAGAATTGTTCCCATGGCAGTAGAATTACGAAAGAAACCAATTTTTGTTGAAAATCCTTTCTTTGGAAACAGATTAGGGAAGTGCACAGTTTCAGCAAAGGAACGGCAGAATTGTACTCCTGGCTGCACAATTTGTCAGTCAGAGAAATGATTTTAAATAGCTCTGAAAGCAGAATTGATTTTGATTTCACATTTGAACTGATGTTTTCACTGGCGGCCAATGGGCCTTGTAGGTATTGGTTTTCACATTGAGAGGCCTGAACCTCTGTCCTCTTGCCTTTATTGTTGGCAGGCCCCTCACCAGTTTTGTGCCAGTCCTAGGCCATTGCACAAGGGAGCTGAGCTTTGAACTCTGAAATAGATACACTAGAAAGCCAATCTTCCCACCAACCTTATTGAGTTCAGAAATATTACTTCTTTGAGTATAAAGTGTTTGGGAGATACATTTAATGGTGCCTTGCAATGACAATGTGCTGTGGTTAGTGACATTTCTTGGTGCCCCCAGTTATGCATAATCTAATTGGGTTAAATAAAATGTGTAACAAATGCCTATTTAAAAGAAGTCTATGATGCGACATGAAGGGCTAAGTGCAGGCTCTTAGGCTACACTGCCCAGCTTTGCCCTTTCTAGCCAATGGGTCTTGAATGAGGTCATTGTCAGTGCTAAAAGCTGACTGCCTGTCAAAGGGAACTAATAGAGCTGTTGAGAGGACATGCTGAGTTAATGCCTGGAAAATGTTGACTACTATTATTGTTTTTATTTCTGCTAATTAATAAGATCATATTTTAGGATTTCAGTAATTAAGCAGAATAGAACTACCATCTCCGCACTGCTGTTCTGTTTCCAGATCCTCTGATTATGTTCTCTGCTGCCAAAGTCTTAACAGTTTTGTTATTTTTTTTTGTGAAGGTGATGTCTACAATGGAGAGAGGTGGTGCATTTCAACTAAGTTTCAGTTTTTGAATATCAATACCTGCTCAATTATCTCCCTGTATTTGCTGCCATTGGCATCAGCCAAGGCATGCCGGTTGTTAATTAATCACTTCCACTGAGAACTTAATTAGTGACTTAATTAGGATCATCCTTGAGTGTCAGGCAGTTTCATCCTGAGCCAGCTGCAGGTTATTGGCTAGCTGCAGTAAGCCCTTCTGGTTCTCTGAACACTTAGACTGGGGAGGAAACCTGAAGTGCTTCTGTTTTGTTTTAATTTTTTTGTCATCCTTTAGAAAGGCTGTGGAAGATCATCTGTCGTCTGTGATGCATTCATGCACTGTCACACGCACGCAAATAAAGGAACATGACCACTTACAATGGGCCGATCAGAAAACCAAGATTGGTTATTGAATTCTTGTGATTGTGCTCAACGAGCAGGAAACACGTTGTTGTTTGCAAGTGTTGAAAATGAGAATGTGCATTCTGAATATGACAGAGTATTTCATTTTTCTGCTGAGTTAAAGTGCTTTCCTTCTGGCATCATTGTTTCTTTATATAAATATATATATATATATGAAATATTGCCATATTGTCTAAGTACGAGGTCAGCACTCTATTTTCTTTCTCTTCAACCCCTCAGGAAAATATGGGAAAATGAGGCAAAACTGCCCTCCTCTTGTCTTGTTTTCCTATAAAAGTGGAAACTGGGTTGAGAGTGAGAAGCATAGTCAAGTTACTCCATTTTCGTGAAACCTTTTGGATGGGTGGTAACTTTGCAAGAAGAGGACAAAACTAATGCCCCAATGGCTTCTATTTTATGGCACAGGGAATCCCTCAAGTTAAATTCCCTGATGAGGACAGGCGTAGTAGAATGGATTTACTTTACTTAAGCATATTTGCTACATTCTCTTGATTATTATTGGCTTTTAGATAGTTTAGGTAAGTTGTAAACTTGGTGAAAGGAACGATTGAGATATTTTGTGTTCAACAGATTTGCTGCTGCTTCCAGGAGAAGTAGAACAGGACGTACAAGCCAGTGTTCCTTCCATGGACCAGCCTCTCAGCCCTCATGTGAAGCCAAGGCCCACTGTAAAAGGAACAGACGTGGAAGAGGTACTCCACAGGAAATTCAGTTGTTCTTGACACTGCCTGGATTTTGTAATTTGTCATTTCAGAAAATTGCTATTATACCTGTGTGCTTTTGTATTTTTTCTCATCTTTGGGAGAATTTAAAATTCAAGTTGTTTACTTGGTACCTCTCACTAACTTCTATCTCTTAGGTATTTATTTCTTTTAAAACACATGGCACAATCATGTTTTTTATGTGTAAACTACTACTGTTCATTTGTGCCATGCAGCAGGACAATGCTACCTAGGCATTATGCAATAGAAAGGATGGAAAGTTTTACGTCTTTTAGTCTATACTGACTGGTTTTTTAAAAATTTTTATTTCTGAGGTCCTAGAAACCTTTTGTATTTGTTGAAGTTAGGCTGGGCTGCTATAACAGAATCCCAATAAAAAGTCAGTGACTGAAAGGAAATAAGGATTTTTTTTTATCTTATTTAACAATCTGTAGAGGGTCCTTAAAGTGAGCAGTTGACTTGGTTCCCTGGGGTTATGGGGACCCAAGTTCCTTCCCCGTGGATGTGTACCATGTCTTGTGACACTGTCCACAGATCACATCACCCTCATGCCCTGGAGGGGTCGGGGCTGAGGATAGGGGCCAACATGTCCCCCTATGTGTATGAGTCAGGGCTCTTCACTTCTGCCCACATACCATTGGCAACCCCTTGGCCATGTGTCTTTATCTAGCCACAAGGGAGTGTGGGAACTGTTGCCCTGCCATTTTTGCCACACTCTTACTTTCCCAACTCTGCAACTTGAAAATCATCTTTTGCTATCTCTTTGAAACTTTTATTTTTAGAGATCTATTTATTTGAAAGGCAGAGTTACAAAGAGAGCAAGAGAGAGAGAGAGAGAAAGAAACAGAGTCTTCCATCTGCTTGTTCACTCCCCAAATGGCTGCAGTGGCTGGGGGTAGGCCAGGCCAAAGCCAGGAGCCTATAACTCCATCCAGGTCTCCTACAAGGGTGGCAGGGGCCCAAGTACTCGGGCCATCTTCTGCTGCTTCCCCAGGTACTTTAGCAGGGAGCTGGATCAGAAGTGGAGCACCCAGGATTCCAAGTGACATTCATATGGGATGTCAGAATCAACAGGCATTGGCTCAACTCACTGCACCACCACACTGGCCCCTATTTTGCAACTGTTCTACAGTTAACCAGTGTGTACCAACCAAGGCTGGTGGTAAGGCAAAGTGACCTTTCTTACCTTCTTCAATGAACATAAAGGGGGACCAACTGGCTCTTTATTATTGCTTCCTAATACAGTCCATGGGGTCTCTCTTGATAATTTAGTTGTACAAATACTAATTTTGTCACTGAAAGATAATTCTGTTATGGTACTGGTTTTTCAATCAGAAATAATCCATGCATTTCAATTGTAAATTGTCCTTTTTTTTAATAGTACTTTTTCCACCGATGTCACAAAAGAATATTCAGAGCTTATATTAAACTTCCAAATTGCTTACCAGATAAATTGATTGGAACAGATTTTTTCAATATGTTTTTTTCACTTGTAGATTGCTTTCTCTGAGTTGTCAGATGCTAAATTGCAAGGTTATTCTTAGCAGGAATCAGTTTCAATTGTGACCATACAAGTTATTGGACCAGCCATGGCACCTCATAGAAATAAAATTAGGGGCTGGCACTGTGGCACAGCAGGTTAAAGCCTTGGCCTGAAGTGCCAGCATCCCATATGGGTGCCAGTTCTAGTCCTGGCTGCTCCTCTTCCGATCCAGTTCTCTGCTATGGCCTAGGAAAGCAGTAGAAGATGGCCCAAGTCCTTGGGCCCCTGCACCCATGTGGGAGACCCGGAAGAAGCTCCTGGCTCCTGGCTTCGGATCAGTGCAGCTCTGGCTGTTGCGGCCATTTGGGGAGTGAACCAGCAGATGGAAGACCTCTCTTTCTGTCTCTACCTCTTTCTGTAACGCTGTATTTCAAATAAATAAAATAGATCTTTTAAAAAAATTATGTTGCAATACAATTATAGAATATATATATTTGAGTACAATTATGGATATTGTTATGAAAAGTTTCAGTTAATCGGTTAAAAAAGGTTGAATGATTTGTGGAATCTATTATATAGCCAGAAAAATGAAAGTTAAAACTCCATATAAAGTTGTTTCTTTAAAAGGAATATTGATTTCTTAAATTTACAGAAAATGTGAACATTTTTAAATACTGGAATTAAAATGATATGAGCAATTTTCATGTAGGCAAACTCTTGAGCCATAGATGACTAACTTTAGCTAGTAAATATCCAAAGTAACAGTTTGTTTGAGATTTTAATTTATTTTTTAAAGATTTTTTTTATTTATTTGAAAAGCAGAGTTATAGAGAGACAGAGGGAGAGACAGAGAGAGAGATATCTTCCATCTGCTGGTTCTTTCCCCAAATGGCTGCAATAGTGGATTGAGCTGGTCTGAGTCCAGGAGCCAGGAGATTCTTCTGAGTCTCCCATGTAGACTGCAGGGGCCCAAGTACTTGGGCCATCTTGTGTTGCTTTCCCAGGTACATTAGCGGGGAGCTGGATTGGAAGTGGAGCAGCTGGAACTCAAACTGCCACCCGTATGGGATTCCAGTGTTGCAGGCAGTGGCTTTGCCCACTATACCACTATGCTGGCCTCTGGGACTTTAATTTCTAATCATTATTTATTGGATAAACTTTTCAGAACTGTTTAGAGTCACAGCACTGCACCAACTCTGCCTCATTTAAAACTATTAATAGTATTAGTCTTATTTTTAAAATAAGCAGTGTCAGTAAAAGAACATAATTATTGATTTCCAGCAAATGTGTGCTATGAGGGTCTACTAGATGGCTATTTGGGCCCAGAGCTAGTAGTTGCTTTCTGTGACTTCAGTCTGAACACATAAAAATATATTCTGGAAGCTCTGACCTCCTCTTAATTTTCTGTTAAGAATCCATCACTTTCTGAAATGAATTGGACCATTTTTCCCCCTAATTTATCACTGGTTTAATTCATGTGTATTTTCAAAGTCAAACATTTTCCAATTTCTATTTGTGAATTACTTCTTGCCTTGTTGACTGTTGGGAACTTTGAACTGCTTTACTAAGCATGAGTTCACATTAGAAAGATGAAAAATTGTGTTTCTCCCTTCCTGCCCAAACCATAGAAGAGGTCATAGAAGAAACTTGTGTAGAGTTTCAGTAGATGTCCTGTGTCAAATAATGGGACTTAAAATTTTTCACCTATAAAGATGGTATATCTACCGTATTACTTTGTACAGTAGCCTACAGCTAAACACTGCAAATTATTGATTTGAGCATTAGTTCTGTTTTCTTTAATTTGCCTACATGGTACTATGAATGAAAATGATTCTTCTTTTAACAGTGTTTCTGTTAGAATAAGTCACATGAGTAATTTTAAGGAAACTTGAAGTTTTCTAATAGGATACAAATTCTATTCCCTGAAAGGCTACAAAAATTTTTCAATTAGATTTGAAATTAGGCACCTGAAATCCACATCTTTCTCTCAGCTCCTCAGGCAAAAATAACAAGTTAATAACTTAATTCACGGTTGTTTTCTGGTTAGCAACAGGGGATTTAGTGTTCCATTGCACACATTTTCACATGAAATAAATCAGAATTTCAGTTTGTAATCTAAAAACCTTGGAGTCTTAGAGCTTAGAACCCTAAAATGAACCTAAGAAGAAAGAAAAGAATCCCCAAAGTGTGTTACAACAGCCAACAACTGAAACAGAAATTCCAACAGTTTTCATTTGGAAGAGCCCAGCAATGTTTTCTGAATTGCATATATACCCAGTCTCACTTCGAATTGCATTCATGTGTCACTTAATGGCAGGGATAGGTTCTGAGAGATGTGTTGTTGGGTGATTTTGTGTGAACTAAATGAACCTAGATGGCGTGGGCTAAGCACTTGATGTGGCTCTTGATGCAATCAATAGATGAGGTAGACACGAGTATGAGGCTGCTGCCAGGGTAACACAGCATAAATTTTTTTTCACCAATTGTTTCATATTTATTATTATTATTTTTGAAATGTGTGAGTCCAGAATATGCTGCTGGCTTGCAAAGGCTTTATTTCTACTTCACCACGTCCTCACAGAGATGCTGAGGCACTGTCGTGAGTTTCCATTTGATATGTTGGTGCCTGTGTTAGTGCTTTTTATTAACAAGAAACTTTTGCCTACACTCTGTACATTACCAGTTCATTTCTTAACAATAATCTTAAAAAGGTGGTTGCTATTGTTTGGTCCATGCCAGAGGATTGAAGATAAAGGTACAGGACAAGAGGAGTCACAATGGACAACAGTGGGACAGACCAACTCACGTAGGGAGGGTGGGGACACAGCACAGTATGTACATGGACCTGAAATTGGGCGTGGGGCCCAGAGAAGAGCAGGTGGATTACATGGCCAGCAAGTGCTCCAGGCCCACCTGAGGGCTGGGCGCCTCTCCTCTAGTACAGACCACCTGTCTGCTCTATTGGCTTCACAGCTTTTTCAACAAAAAAAGTTCACTGAATCAGAATAGTCTAAAGCATTTAAAAAATTCTTAAAAAATAACACTGACAAAATGAAATTAACTTAAACCATGCTGATTCAACAGTTCCATATTTTTAATGCTATGCTTATTCCCAAATAACTAGAAGAGAGGATTTTTAACCTGCTAACCATAGAGAAATTATGAAAGTTTTAGGTGACAGATCTGCTAATTTCTCTGATTCAGACATTGCTGAGTATATATGTGAAACAGAACGTTATATTTCACCCTGTAACTGCATGCAATTATTACATGCCAATCAAAAAAATAAAAAATATAAAACATCAATAACAGTAATAATAAACTGAAAAGATCAACAAAAGTCTAGTCAGATTTTTTTTTTCAAAAATAGAGAAGTTACTGAGTACATGTATTAGAAATGATAAGGGGTGACATCACCTTAGATATTACACATGTTATGACCAATTTCATATATATAAATTCTATAATTTATGTGCTATGGGTAATT